TCATGAAAAAATTATCCAATCAACATAAGCGACCTACAAAAATATATTACTTTGCCGATTTCCATGAAAACTATTAGTGTTACAACCGAACAAAATCGAAAAATTGAAATTTCAATCATTTTCTTTCTACAGTAAATGAAACTCTGATGAGAAATGTAGATGTTACGGAACACAATCTGCACAAAAAATATATATTTTTGCAAAGAGCCCATCAATACCTTTCGAACTGTTGGTCGTTTCATGAGATATTGAGGAATAACTGAAAAAGTACTAAAAATACGTTTTTCGAACAAATCTCGAAAACACTTCTTTGAAACCATGGGTATTTTTTCGTGTTCAACGACCCAAAGTTTGCCTAAAAAAATTTGCTTTACAGAGGTTCATATTTCGTGTAAAGTAATATGTAATATGCCTTGTTATAATTGTGTAAATATTCATTTATAAAAGATTAATACCAATGAAGCAAATGTGATTTATGTTTAAAGTTTAAAATTGGATTAATAATTAAGAAATATACCATCTTCGTTACTTTTAATACTTAGTAGTACAGTTTTCGTTTTGTTTGTTTAATATTCATTAACTTTTTATAAAATTATAGATATTCTACCTCTACATCCCATTTTAAAAATTTTTGAAAATTAAAAAAAAATAAACATAGGGGCGACATTTTTTTTGTTGACGGTGCTGCGCATTTTCGTCCATATAAAAATTTTGTCAAGCATACTTTGTATGGTAAAAAATCAAAAAAAGGGTACGCTATTCAAATGACGAGGAATGTATATATGTAGTATATTTTTGTTATTTTTATACAACGCAATTATATGTAGGTAAATTTTTTTAAAAATTGTCCTGCATTTTCAAAATATATTTATGGTCACCGTAATTATATGTATCGGCGAAAAGTTTGATTTTGTTTTTGGCAAAGTAAATTTTCTTCCCAGAGAGAGTGTGGATACCTGTTCAGGAAATTCAATAGACGTCTTGTTTTCGAACCAGCTATTGTTGTTTTTTATTCCCAATCTTCGCATTTGATGGGTTTTTAACTATTTAGTTTAAATTTGAGAGCCGTTCTTTTCTTTTTTGCGATCCCATCACCGAGGAAACGTTGTTTTCTGATAAAATTGTTTAATTCTAACTGATTTAAGGCGTATTTTAGTTGTTTTTTGGCATTATTTAATAGATATTTTGTTGTTTTGGTATTGATGTTGGTTTGTGTTATTTCTATATTTACGATTTTAATTAGAAATTAAAAGTATAGACTATTCTACCTCTAGATCCCATTTTAAAAATTTTTGAAAATTAAAAAAAAAATAAACATAGGGGCGACATTTTTTTGTTGACGGTGCTGCGCATTTTCGTCCATATAAAAATTTTGTCAAGCATACTTTGTATGGTAAAAAATCAAAAAAAGGGTACGCTATTCAAATGACGAGGAATGTATATATGTAGTATATTTTTGTTATTTTTATACAACGCAATTATATGTAGGTAAATTTTTTTAAAAATTGTCCTGCATTTTCAAAATATATTTATGGTCACCGTAATTATATATATCATCGAAAAGTTTGATTTTGTTTTTGGCAAAGTAAATTTTCTTCCCAGAGAGAGTATCCACTTTACCTGTTCAGGAAATTCAATAGACGTCTTGTTTTCGAACCAGCTATTGTTGGTTTTTATTCCCAATCTTCGCATTTGATGGGTTTTAACTATTTAGTTTAAAGTTGAGAGTCGTTCTTTTCTTTTTTGCGATCCCATCACCGAGGAAACGTTGTTTTCTGATAAAATTGTTTATTTCTAACTGATTTAAGGCGTATTTTAGTTGTTTTGGGCATTATTTAATAGATATTTTGTTGTTTTGATATTGATGTTGGCTTGTGTTATTTCTATATTTAAGATTTTAATTAGGAAACTCCGTTTTGTCTTTTCAATTTGTTCTTTTATCCAACAGAGTCTGTATTTACTTTTAAGTTTTTTGATTGAATTCTTCAAGTGGTTGGGGATAAGTCCATACCTTTTACATTCTAATAAGATTTTCAAATCTTCTTTCTGATTTGCTAATTTTTGATTTTGTTTACTGTAATGTTTCAGATTGATAGCAGAAATGGAGCAACTTATACAGTCACTAGAGAACGATAAGGAAAAGGAAATAGCAAGAAATAAAGTGAGCAATAGAATATTACTTTTCAAACGCAACATGAAACACAACGAAGCGGAAAAATTAATATTATCAGCATTTCATAAAGCAAAGGCGTTTATCCAGAAACACAAAAACAACATTATTATAACTGATGCCGACAAAGGCAACAAAACTGTAGTCATATACAAAACAGAGTACCTAGAGAAGATGAAGAAACTAATAGAAGACAGAAATACATATAAATCAATACGAACTGATCCTACAAACACTCTTCAAAGAAAAAACAACAAAATAGTGGACGAACTTTACAAAGGCAAGCACATAAACTTCAGGGAAAAACAAAAACTCACCTGCACTGCAGCCACCAGAATTTATGGCTTGCCTAAAATACACAAGCCTGGAGTTCCACTTCGTCCTATTGTCTCTTCTATTATGGTCCCCTGTTACAAACTGCCCAAATATATCGGCGAGATTATACAAAGTCTAATTTCGGGAAAATATAACGCCAAGAATGCTTTTGATCTTAAAGATAAGTTAACCAACGTCCATGTGTGTGATGAAGATGTTTTAGTTTCGTTTGATGTCATTTCCCTATTCACAAATATACCAACGACATTAGCTTCGAGAATAATTATGAATAAGTGGGACCTAATTCAACAGAAAACTTCTATTCCAAAAAAGAAAATTCACGAAATAATAGACTTTTGCCTCAAGGATAACAACTACTTTATGTTCAGCAACAAACTATACGCACAAACTTTTGGAATGCCCATGGGAAATCCATTTTCTCCAACAATCGCTGACATTATCATGGACAACCTACTGGACAACACCATCACTGAGCTGAAAGAAAAATTTAACATTGACATAAAGCTTATAACAAAATACGTGGACGACATCTTCGCTATTATCAAACGTAATGACGCGAATATTATTCTAGATACTCTTAATAAATACCACAATAAACTGAAATTTACTATGGAAATGGAAAAAGACTGAAAAATACCATTTCTAGATGTTTGTATTTATCGAGAAAAGCAAAACCTCCTTCTAGACTGGTACTCAAAACCAACCTCCTCTGGACGCCTGATAAATTACTTCTCATCTCAACCAAGAAAATATAAAATTAACACCGCAAAAAACTTAATCCACAAAGTACTGACGATAAGCCACACGCAGTTCCATGACGCCAGGAAATAATAAAAAATAGCAACCACCCTAATACACAATCGGACTCAGAAACAACAAAAAGCGCAAAGAAATTCTTCAGTGTTACATACATTCCCAATCTTACCGATAATTTTGATCATAACATAACAAAAACACAAAACACAGCACTTGCATATAAATCTAATTGCACACTTTCGAGAATATATACAAAAACAAAGTGTCCAGTGGAGGTCCACCAACAAAACAACGTAGTCTACGAAATTAAATGCAATGGGAAGGAAACAGAAACATGCGGAAAGGTGTACATTGGGACAACGAAGCGGCCTTTAGGTGTTCGATTAGGCGAACATGAAGCGGACATAAGGNTGGGAGCCTTAGAATTATGCAAAAACGAGTAATGACAATTAATAAGAAGGAAGATACAGACAACATTGCGGCCGCATACATAACTTGTTTACAAAAATTAAATTATCAGTACTGTCAAAACTACCACATCAAGTGGTATGGACATATTTTCTTTTTTAGTGATTAAGTATTTATACATATATATCTAAACAATGTGAGTTGGTTTGTCATTAAATTCAATTTGTTGTTATATATGTATACATTTTTGTTTTTCGGTTAACACTTAATGTGTGTGGTTTTTTTTGTATTTTTGTATATTTGTTGCAACAGATAAAATAAACACTACCCCTGAGGATACTAAAAAAGTTTTAGCGAAACGTCGGGTGAAAAGTGGAATAAAGTAGTTTTATTCGCACCAGAACTGAAAAGATCAGACTAGCCTACAAACATAAAATAAAATAAATTTGAACTGATCGGACAAAAAAGATAGAAAACAAAGTTACATTGGCGATCAAAACTGAATGCATGGCAATTTTATTTTAAATATTTACAAAGTTTTTCATGTTATTTTTTTTGTTTTTTTGTTATAAATATATTTTGCATGCCTTAGCCACCAAAACCATAAAATTAATTCAAATACAAAAATAAAATTAAAATTAATACAAACTCTAGAAAAATTCATCAAATTTCCACAAAAGTTTTTCGAGGCTAAAAATCGCGTAGATTTCAAAGATGAATTTGAAGAAAAGGCGCAGGAGCGTTTAAATAAAATAAAAAATCAACACCAGTTTTTATAAATTGCACTTCTTATATAAAAATAAAATTATAGTTTAAAAAACTAAAACCTCCCTATTATGATTGCCATTATTATTATGATTGTTATCAGGTATGTAACTTGAGAATAGAAATCGCTGCATCTTTAAGGCGCATCAATATTACATAGTTACATCCCGAGCTAATAAAAGGAAGGTAATAATAAAAACCGCTGGTTAAATCTTGCACTCATTTTACTAAAATTTCATGAGGCATGTAACTGCATATCCAAGAAATAAGATTGAAAAGTTCAAAATTTTCATGGGAATTGGTTGAAGTTTTTCTAAAATTTGTTATTTTGTTATTATATATTTTTAAAAATCACCATGCACTCAATTTTGATCGCCAGTGTATGTATGTACACAAAAATATATATATACGAATGTATACACATATGTACATATATTTAGCCTTAAACATGGCATACGAATATTTTTTGAAATTAAAATTATACTTTCCGTTCAACTTGATTCAACAAATCGCCTGTGAAGGTTGAACAATTCAAACACGCTTTGAGCGAAAAGTGAACGATTTCGGGCAAAAATGGGCGACCTATGCAACCTTCCGTAGTAAGGGGGACAAAAAGCAAAAACGGCCGGATAAGCCGTATTCCCAGCACGTCCCTATTTATTATTATTATTATAATTATTAGAAATGTTGTATATTAAACTGTAGAAACTTGGTCTGAATTTCAACGGCGTTGTATATAAGTACGCTGACCATCCGTCCTTTATTTTCTTTCAACCCCCTGTTCTTTATACTTTTTGCAAAATAAAAGACGCCTTTTGTCCTTTATTTCTTAAACCGTCCTCAGAAATCATCTCTGAATCTTTCAGAGGACAATTTTTAAACAGAGAATAGGGGAAAAAGAATTCCCTTATAAAATATAATGAAAACCTCCGCCAGTCTGTTTCGCTACCCCCTTTAGGGTTTTTATATTTAATCGGTAATCTTTGTACAACCCATAAATCACGAATCATTTCTAATACTGATAGGGAAAATTTATATAATTGAAAAAAATTAACTTATATTCACACCTTTTCGTAGAAAATTTAATATACTTTGAGTAAAATTTATTGTTCTCAAAAGCAATGGGAAAGTTGTGCCCCGGATCATGTTGCATGCTGAGTTACCAGTTTCACTGCCGTTTATTGAATTATGATAAATGCCTTTTGGCAGCAAAAGATGGCGAAGTCCTTGATAAGGATTTGGTTTCATTTTTCGGAATCGGTTAAAATCCAATTACAGCGCCTTTCAAGAAGGGCACCTGTACAACAAATGCAACTAAGGTAAATATTTGATTAAATTACATGTATCATACAAGTTATATGTCCTCATTACCAAATTATTTTGAAAAAACTGTCCTTTATTTTACGTTGGTTTATATGGTCACCGTATATATAAGAGATAAAGTCCCATGTATGTATATAAACGCGAATTTGTACATACATTTGTATGTATGGGCGTACGCAGAGCATAATTTAGGGGGAGCGGAGGGCTTAGATTATTTTGAATGTAATGTTTATTACAAGTGTTAAAATATACATAAAACTTACGACACTGGTTTACAGCAAAAATTTTCACTGGATGCCACTATCCAATTTCTTTATAGAATTGCTCGCTGATTCCGAAAATCTAGTTAATTTTTTATTCTATGGATATGTTTTCGAGATATTTTCAATTTACCGTTATTCAGCTTAAAACAAAAATAGGTTCCACTTAATCACGTATATCTTACGAACCAATTTAACAACCTTAACATGGAATACGGCAAATGAAAGCTAATAAAATTCTCCATAAAATATAGTATATAAATCACGTTCTGATAGGACTTACTTATAGTTCTTGACAAATTCATTAATCATTCCGTTTCTTTTTTTTAATTTTTAATGAAAAAAACAAACTCTTAATAGAAGAAAAATGTAAAAGGTAACAGGTTCTGTACCAAATTTTTGCATTTTTGCTAAAGCCTGTTCTGTTACTTAAAAATCAAGTTACTAATGAAGATAATGAGTGGTCAAATGAAAATACGCAAAGATTATTTGTATGAAAAATGAGCGGTGTACGCCACGTACACATACAACATAAACAAATCTTTCCGCATTTTCATTTGACCACTCATTCCTTCTTTATTTATCCATCGATTTTCTCCATTAGTGACTGATTTTTTTTTTGTAACATAACAGGCTTTAGCACACATGCAAAAATTTGGCACAGAACCTGTAAATTTTTAAATTTTTCTTCTGTTAAAGTTTGATTTTTTTTAATTTGTTCAATAAAAAATAAGGAAACTGGAACGATTAATTAATTTGTCAGAAACTATAAGTCCTATCGGAAAGTGACGTATACATGATTTATGGAGAATTTTATTAGCTTTGATTTTACGTATCTCCTTTTAAGATTGGTAAATTTGTTCGTAAGATATACGTGGTTAAGTGGAAACACTTTTTGTTTTAACCTGAATAACGGTAAATTGCAAATATCTCGAGAAGTAATCCATAGAAAAAAAACAACTCTATTTTCGGAATCACCGAGCAATTCTTCATAGAAATTGGATAGTGGCGTCTGGAGAACAAAAACCAAACAAAAATTTGTGATCCAGTGTAATTAACCTCATTAATTTTTAACCGACTTCAAAAAAAAGGAGGAGGTTATCAATTCGTCGAAATATTTTTATTTTTTTTGTTTTTATTTATGTTACCGTATAGTTTCGGACCACGTTAACCGATTTCGATAATTCCGTAATAATAAAACCGTAATTTTTTCATTAATTTTAACCGACTTCAAAAAAAAGAAGGAGGTTGTCTATTCGCCGGAATATTTTTTTATGTATTACCTTGTTTATAAATACCTACGACAAAGCCGCATTAACAAAAAACAGATTTGATTCAACACATATTTCTTTCTAACGTTTATTCCTCAGTCCTTATAGCGCACTCGATAAAACCGTATTGAAAAGCAAACAAACTCCGTTAGTTTTTTTCGACATTTATAATTATTTTGCTTTTTAACCGACTTCCAAAAAAGGAGGAGGTTATCAGTTCGTCGGAATCTTTTTTTTTGTTTTTTTTAATGTATGTTACCGCATAACTTGGCAGCACGTCAACCGATTTCAATAGTAGTGTCTCAGAGGTGGTCCCATAATAATTTGGTTTAGATCCGATCAGCGGATGATGAAATATATAGATATATATATTTTTTTTTTAAGTCGGTTTTTTTTTTGCTAAAAATTACTTGTTTTAAGTACGTATATGCCCGATATGATTGAGTAAAAAATATTAAATTTTCTGCTACAATTTATTTTTTGTATAGGAAAAAAGCACCAATCAGCTGTTTATA